GTTTGATAGGATGATCTTTTATGTATTTTTTTGGTGTATTGCTGTTTTTGTGCGGAATGACGTGATTAACTGAAATGAGATGAAATTAAGTGTGTCATAACTCGAAGTGTCATGTTGACATAATGTGTCTTTCTGACATTAGAACATCATAGGACTTTTCCTCTCGTGAAAGCACCCCGGTTCGAGCACCACTGACACGCCCAAGTGTCCCACCACCCGGCAGACCGTCAGCTCCTCCACCACCTCCACCTATAATAAAAACTAATGGTAGCCACACTCCAGAGCCACCTCCACCACCGGCTGTTCCACCAGTTGCTTCAGCTCTTCCTAATAGGTACATTTCACATTTTTTCTTTGTTCCTGATTGCATTCGCAATTCTGCCTTCTACCTCAGTTTATACAATAGTAATTGATATGGTATTTGCTTTAAGATTTGGCAGTTCTCCTGCTATGGGCGTTCGATCAGAGGAGAGTGCTCCACCTCCTCCTCCAAGGAGTGCATCTAAAGCTGGTAGTTCCATTTTTTCTCCTCCTTCTCTGGCAACACCCAAGTTCACAAGCAAGGATGCTCATCCTCTTGACCGGTGGGTAAAGTTATTCCACATATTGATTTATTTGCTTCTACTTTCCTTTCAGTCCACTAAAAGTGGAACAATAGGGCAGGTATTGATATGTAGACGAAACTCGACCAAGGCTGTGTGAGCTGTATGAGCTCTCGAGGATATCATCGAAAATTTGTCAACATGGCTGGTTTAGGCGCGCAGTATTCGTTACGCTCAAAAACTTTGTGCGAGTGCCGCCAATAAAAGTTCAGTCTCACCACCATATATGGGGGTTTGGGTGTTTGCAGAAATTTCCAAATCTGGAGGCCAGGTTGCTATCGTTAGTTTAGCAAAATTTGTTAACTCGCCAAATGCATATTTCACGTTTATCCCACCAAGTACCGAGTATTGTCACTCATCGGAATATCTCAGGAATTGCCCAGGTAAATTTCCATGAAGTTAAGCACTGAACCGAATTTTAATTCACTCTAGTATGCCAAATAACGTCGATAGGCAAAACTAAACTTAGATATGCTATTGATAGTAACGATAACCTTCAACAGAAATATGTGAAGGAGATTAATGGTGCCTGAGACTCATCTCCTCAAATAGCTTTGCACGAGAATCCCCTCCTAGTTTCTCCGATGGTCATGAAATTAACGCTACAGGAAAATACTCACTATCCAAAAAGTGAGAGGTGCAGGTTTTTTTCCCGCTTGGAGCGAATCGTTTTACCTACAACTCAGTATCCTGATGATCTGCGAGGAGAACAGAAGTTAATAACCAGAAGTAAAGTATCGCTGATTTTTGTTCATATTTATACATTGATTTCGAATTTGCGGGGTTTCTTCTTTCCGTAGTCTTTACATCTTTGCATAATCAATAGTAGTATATTTTGTAGCAGAGAAGAAATGCCTCTGCTTACGTCATCTTTTCAGTTTCGTTTTCAAACCACTGTCAAGTCTTCCGCCTCCGCCGATTCCTTCACAAGGTCGTGCTTATTAATCACTTATGGTTCCCGGGATTATGATTCTGTGCCTTCGCCTAACAACTTTGCTTAGCTATTCATATCTTGGCAAATACTTATTATAATCGGATTATACCAACTATAAAGCAATACTAATCCGGGTGTGGGTCGCTAGGACAGAACGCGACTTTTGCACTTTTCGCAAAGCGCAAGCTTTTCCCGCTGTG